AGTTGCTATAAAACTAAACATTCCATATGTAATCTTCCTTAAAGTTAGGAAAAAAAAAACCCAGAGAATTCTCATATAATTATTTCCAAGTTCAGTAAATCAGACATATACATTAACCTTCAAGAATTTTATAGTAATGGGTAGAAGTGATTTAAAGATCCATGGCTGATCTTCTCTGTTACTTCATCAAAGCGTTTACTAAACTCGGTAATAAATCATGTCATTTAGAGAATTAAATGTGTTATCTAAAGTCATATACTCTTTTTCTTTTTACTTATTGAAGTAAAAATACATCTGCAAGTTTATTTTTAAATTTCCACCCAGTTCAATTTCACTATGTGGTAACATAATGTCAAAGAAAATGACAGGCCAAGTGACAAAGGAATCAGATAAATGTGAACACATGCCATTAAGGAACTCTCTTGGCATGCTAAAAGTTTTAACTGAAAGTGACAATAAATTACGAAGTACCGTGATTGTAAAATGAAAACCCGGCCTTTAAAAATCCTTTCTACATAGTATTCAGTCATTATAAATTCATAAAATTTACAGAGCCAAACTAAACAAAACAGTCATTATGCAAAATTATTTTCTATGTATAGCAAGAAGAAGGTGTATAGGGGAACTCACTTAGAGATGCAATATGGCTCTAGTAGCAAAGGCATCTGGGAAATGTTGGACTCTTGTGTTTAACCTTCTGTGGCCTCAGGCTTCACTGACTACCCAGAAAACCAGAATGCAGTCCAAAGACAAAGGCCATGCCCCAGGAAGGAGATTAATGCATGTATACAGTGTGGATAACTCCCTGATGTTATCTGTTAACTTAGAAATGCATTGTTCTTTCTGGTGGTCTAAGCTACTACCCACCATATGTTTTTACTATTAACCCCTTATAAAAGAGATCCTGTGCTAGGAGGGGGTGGATTTATTCCAGGCGCTACCACTGGGAGTGAAGCTGCTTTGTTCGTAATTGTAAGCTCCTAATAAAGCTCCTATTAATTTGAATAAGGCTATGTGTCAGTTCTTTGGAATTGACCCTAAATTTAGACTTTTGGGGCTTTCCTCCAACAAGGTGCTATTATGCTCAGGTAGAAGGACTACAGAGAATTAGAAATAAAGTAATATGTTCTTAGCTGAATTATTATTTTCGGGTAAACAAAGTTTTAAAAATAAGTTAGAGAAAACATCGCAGATTGGAAATGTGAACTCATCCTTTCTCCTTGATAATAGATCCTCTGTCGTCCTACTAAAAAGTGAATAAATGAATGAAAGTGCATAAAGACAAGGCATGAAAGAAGAAATGATAGCAGATAAAATAATTTAACACAGTTTTGAAACTGGAAAATGGATAAGCTGTAAGTCAAGAGTCTGAAAGGAAGGATGCCATAAAGACATACCGGGGAAAAATTTGGAAGATCATCTCTGCTGAAAGGAGCTTACTCAGAAGAAGGGGCCCATCAATGGTGACTAGGGGCTCTTTGGTGTTGGCCAGACCCTTGCCTGACTACAATCCATGAAGCTCACTGACTGTCAGGCCCTAACATACCAGCTTTCTGGCACCTTACTCTCAAGAGTGAACACAAGCAAACACTGCCAAGATTTAGAAATGCCTTTCATATGGTAGAAGCAAGCTGGCCACCTAACCAAAAAACAAAAACACAAGTACCTGAAGAAAAGTCGATCCAGGGAGCAGGAAAACAAGAGCCTCAGAAATTGTCAGAGTTAAGAAAAGACCCACAATTCACCAAATAAGAACAGGATGCAATGAAAATCAAATCAGAGAATAAGGATTCACTCTCACAAACTGAAAAAAAAAATCATAGAACCATTAAAAATACCAATCAAGGGACTGGAAGACAAGGTTGAGGAAATCTTCCACAGAAGAGAACGAAAGATAAGGAATTTAAAGTGATGAGAGAAAATCCAAGTGTCAGTGCAAAAAAAGCAACAGAAAACATAAAAAGAGCATATTTAATAAATAATATAGAAACACTTCCCAGAAATAAAGGACATAAGTTTCCACATTGAATCAATGAATGAAGGCTCATTTCAGAACACAAGAAAGTTCTGAAAATATGTGACCGGTGAGATTGTTGTGGTAGGTAGACGAAGAATAATCCTTTTTGTGAATTGAAATCTGAAATGCCTTAAATATTCTGATGAAATTGTTTCCAGCTAGAATTCTATCCACAACTAAAAAAACTGTGGATCAGGAAAGATAAAAATGTATTTTGCTATACATACTTACCTCCCACAAATCCTATCCCAAAAAGCTAGGAAAAAATAAAGCAGTGAAAAGAAGACTCAGAATCCAAGAAACAAAGCATCTAACAGAAAGGAGGTAAAGGGAATTCCAGGAGGCAGGTAAGTCCTCATAAGATGGTTGTTTATCAAACCTGCAGAGAAACCAATTCAGAATGGGACACTAGGGGGCAAGGACAGGGCCCCAGGAGGATCACCTGCTTTGGGGAGATGTTGATTAGTGGACCATCAGGTATGTCCGACTGCAGCTGAGAAGGGCTTTAGAGGTGAGAGATAACTAAGCAGGAGTCTGAGCCTGCCCCAGAGCAGGGCTGAGATGGGTCAGAGTTCAGATGGAGGAGTTTGTGTTCCAAGGACAAAATGTGATTCAACCAGGGAGTGTTCTCTCAAAACCCACTGAGAAGCAGGAGGAGGGAGGAGGAAACACTATCCTTGAGGAAAGGCTACTCCCAAGGATGACAGGAGCTAGGTCTAGGAAGTCAAGAGCCTACGGGAGTTCCACAGGCCTCTTACTTACCCTCCAGGAGCCCTGCTTTATCACAACAAATGCTAGGGCAGGAGAAGAGCCATGACCCAATCACAGAGGTGGCACCTCTAGCAGCCCTGTGAATCGTGAGAGTGGAGATAGAATACCTTGTGCCTTCTAGTTCCCTTAAAATGTCCCATTCTTCTCACTATCACATTTGTTCAGCACAGTATTTCATTCTTTTATAAGTGTCATAGAATGCCTTGATTTAAACTCTTCTTTCTTTTTACATTCTAGTTTCTTCAGAAGTTATGAGGTCAACCATGAAAAGCTACTTGGTCAAAAAAATAATGTCATATATTATCAATACTATTCATAATTAGATATTACAAGTAGGAACAATCAGGCCTCATACTAGATGAGAAAAGTTCAGGGAAGCTGTGGGAATAAAGTGGAAATGTCCATTGTGACTTTGTTCACAATGTTTTCAGAATCCAAGCAGGGAAAGGAGAATGAGCTACACATGAGAACAGTGTGGGAGGCAAGTCAGCTGTGATGAAGTGGAAGAGGCCTTGAGTAAGCTCCTTTGGCAATCTTTAGGAGCTGTCCAGGGTGGTATTTGTTATTCCAGCCCCAGAGATACAGGAGTAAACTCCAGAGAGTGCTAATGGACAGGCCAACTGCAACATGATGGTCTGGCTAACTTTGAGGATATTGATTCAAGTTGTGAAGAGGCACTAAGATGGCCAGATGTTTCATCTGGAAAAACATGCACTCAAAAATCTACCATGAGAAGGCAGAACATGGTAAACTCTCTTAGGGAACTTCATCTGCTGTCCAGTATGGCAGCCACTAGCCATACGTGGTCATTGAGCACGTGAAATGTGCTAAGTGAGGAACTAAATTTTAATTTTATTTAGTTTTAATTATTGTTTAAACAGACACATGTGACTAGTGACTATCATATTGGACTTTGCAGTTCTAGATTTAAAAACAAAACAAAGACACACACACAAAATAAAAGCCTGAGGAATGTTATTTGTAGCCACATACCCCATAGTGGTCTGGAAAGTGGTCCAATCAAGTCCAGCAGGGTACTCACCTAATATAGACCACCCTCCCAATGATGTGATCACTTCTCTCTTTTCCATCCTCTACATGTCCTTTACTCACTCTCCTCCTTCCCTCATAAAACACTATAGCATCTCTACCAGGTCTATCTCACTCTCATCCATGACTCCTACACATCTAAACAAGTAACGAAGGTATCTGTAGATATTCAGTTTATTTGTTATGGATACTATATGATATTCTTCTTTTTAAATGCTAATATTACATTTACATATATAACATTCACATAGGCTCTTTGGGAGTGTTTACCATTATTTCTTACACGAATACTTGTTTTGATTTGTTTAGAACTGTTTCAAACACAGGTTTTCGGAACTGCAACCACCTCATCAAACAAGGACTTCTATTTGTTGTATATCTGTTATTCAAACACATGTTTTCTTGCTTCACATATTATATGATTTATTCTTTTCTTTTTATACTTCTCTATATTTTCTTAGGCAAGATATCTGTTTGCTGGACAAATTAGATGTCAGCTCTGTTCAGTTTTAATTTAGATATTCTGTATCTAGGTAATTCATCTATCCATCATTTTACCAATTGATGGGGACAAAACAGGCAGTAAGAGCTTATATACATTTATTTTTATGTATTTTTCATTATAAGCACCATATTTTCCATACTCTTATCACACATTTAAAGCACAGGTATATTCTGCAACATAACTCCACATTTATTACTTTCTATTCTAGCAAAGAATTATCTCATCTCCAAATGCATAAAAAAAATAGAGAAAAATAAATAGGGGCAAGGTGAGAACAAGAGGGGAAAAGACAAGAGGTTCTGGAATTTCTCTAAAGAAAGCAAGACACAGCAGCTGTTTGAAGAAAATTCAGGACTGGGGTGGGACCCAGATGGTAAGTATATCCTATGGAGGGTGTGCTTAAGGAATCAGTTAGAGAGCAGAGGCACTGGGAAATGATGTGGGTCTGGGCAAGACCTCGGGGGTCCAGCAGGCTCTGGGAAGGCAGAGGTGAGCAGACAGTAAGAAATGTCAAAGAAGGGCTTTAGGCACAGAGAAGGCAGTATGATAGGGAGATGTCTGGCTTCACACGAGTCATTGATGATGCTACCAAAAGCTGATAGCCTGCATAATGTTTTAATTCATCTCTGAAAAAATTTAAAGAAGAAAATATTTTACCTGTGATGTCCTGAATACCGTGGGCCCCGGATATGGCCTATTCCTCGGCAGCCTGGAGTAGGACAGACAGCTTGGCTTGGCAGGATTTTCACATCGTTTGCTCCTTCAGGAAGTAAAAGAAACACCCTTAGCAAAGAAGAACTGGAAAGACTAAAATATGTAAATGATATTCATTGAGACTTTATAAATTAAAAACATGTATTGGGTACTTGTGATGTTTTATAAAATGATTGAGCAGAAAATATCATTGCTGTAATAGATAACACTAAAAGCAACTAATATCAGAGGCAGAGCAAAATAAATAAACACTGAAGAAATTATTTTTTTAAAAAAACAGTGTGAGAATATTCATTATCTCTTTCAGAGAATAGTACTGGCAAAAGCAATACAGCCATGAGGTGAGAATGTGAGGGGGTGACGTCTAGTTTGTGGTTTCCCATTATACTACTCCCACTGACCACAGCAAGGCACCCCCAAATGCTAGACAGAAACAGGGTGAGCAATTGTTCATGCCAAAGACAGCGAACCAAGGGGGCCCTACATGTGCTTCCTCAATCAGTTGTCACAGCTATCTGAAGAACTGCCTGACCCATACCACACACACACTATGCACACCGCCCACACCACACACCACACACACCACAACCACACACCACACACACATAACATACCACATCCAAAACACCACACCATACACACCACACACACCACACTATACTATATATAACCACTTCAGAAATGAAGTCTGTCAAGCACAAGAAACAATCTCTAAAGATTACCAGGATTTAACCCCCTTGCTCTGTTCTGAGACTTTCCTCAGTCTGCTCTCTCTCATTTTCCCTCTCTCCAACACAGATATCAGCTCCTAGAATGCTCTACCCCCTACTGTCAGACATCTGGGTTTCACTTCCCTGACAGTTCCACATTCTCCTTCTCTCTCCTCAGCTCTCATACTTCCACTTCCTGTGCAAGCTCCCCATTTCCTGTCCTCATTTCACGGTTTTCTCTATTCCCACTCTAACTCTGTCTTGCTGCTGCCTAAAGAGAGTACATTCTGAGCTTTCTTCCAGAGAAAATGTTCACTTTCTCAGGCCCATGTGTCTCAGAATCGGCAGGGAAGCCAGGGCCCCCCTCTCCTCCCAGCATCTCTTCTGAACCACATTTCTTTCATGTTCTTCAATACTCCAGTTCTTCTAAGGCTGACTCCATGGGGCTCCCTCACCACTGGCCCTCTCATTGCTCACACCTGTCTGCCTGCCAGCCATGCCACTCAGAGAAGACTGCAGCCCTCACTCACTGTGTTCCATTCTGTCCCAGCTCCAGCAATACCGAGGCATCTCAATATGCACAGTCATAGCGTCTAATCTGCTGTTCTCACAGATCATTAACCAACTCATCTCCAGTGGCTTCTTCCCTGAATCCATCTGGGCCAAACACAAGGAAAACCCTCTGGATCTTGTCAGCACTAAAATGACACTGCATCTAAAATCACTAAGCAAACAGTCCATCTAACTACAAAATCTTATCCGTCCAGATTGCTTGCTCAGGTATCCCACCCAATTCCTGATGATGTTTTCAACATCACTAGAATTCCCAGGCCACTAATTTCTCTTCTTTTTCCCACCATCAGTCATCAATCCCCACTGACCGTAACTCCCTTCCCTCATCTTAGATTCTATCAACCAGTATTTGACCCTCTATTGCAAATAACTTAAATTCCCTTCCCTCTCTGACCTTATCACAAGTGCCTGGGGGGTGGGAGAAGCCAACCATGGATCAAATGTACTATCCTGCTGCTCTGTGTTTTGTGCAACTAAGTTCTCCTGGCAAAAAATTACACAACAGTGCAGACTGTTACCAAAACTACTTCCTCTCTTCAATACCACATGGACTCCTCTAAACTCTCTAAACCTTCCACCAACCTCCACCCTTCAGCTGTCAGTAGCTGAGTTTGCCTGCTACTTCACTGAGACACCAGGAGATCGCCCTCCTGTGCACCATCTTCCTCCTTCCTTCCCATCACAATGTAGGAACAATTCCCTCTCCAATCACCATTTATGTTGAGTCATAGCTACCTCATTCTCCAGATTTTTAGGTGATTGGATATTCTAATCACTCCTGGACTTTTGAATCCTTTCTACGAACATTTAAACCTACTCCAGTTTCTCCAACCACAAAAAGAAATGAAGACAAAAACAGAAAACAAAAGCTTAAAACTCTACTTGGCACCCATATTTCCTGTTACTGTTGTTCACTCTTTCCCCCTTCATAGACAAATTTCTCAGAGAAGTTATCTTTATTTCTTCACATCTTGCTTCTCAAATCACATCATTCTATCTTCTGAGGTGAGTAATGACCTTTATGTATTAAGCCCAACATACACTGCAGAGTATGCATTACACTAGATGTCTTGGTACTATTAATCACTGTCTCCTTCTTGAATTGTTACTGTCCACTGGCTTTGGTGACATCATACTCTGACAATTTCCCTTTGCCAGCTTTCCTTCCTCTAGTTAACCTTAAAATGTCACAGAGCACCACATTTTGTTCTTGGGCTATCCATTTCAACACTCCATTTATCAACTGTGCTACACATGCTCATAGACGATAGCCCCGACATTCTTTATGTTCCAGACCAATACTTCTAACTCCATACATTCAACTCCAATGCACCTCCACTGGGATCTCTCAAAGGCATTTCAAAGTCAACATGTTCAAACTGAAGTCATCATCTTGTCCCCCAACCTTCTTTTCTGCTAGAGCTGCTCATTCCAATAAATCACGTCACACACCATTCCAGAAACCTGAAATAATTCTTGACATCTCTTCTCTTTCATTTCACTCTGCCTCAACTTCCAATCGATTCTCAATCTCTTACATATTTATTTAGCCAGCCAATTTTTCTTCATCACTACTGTGACTGGCCTAATCCAAGTCATCATCATCTCCTTGGAGCATTTCTGTAGCCATTCTTGACTCAGTCCAACCTATTCTACTTACAACCAGAGTGCCATTTTCAAAACATAAGTCTAATCTAAGCAATAGATTCTTATTGATGTTTGGATTACATCCAAAATCCACATCCTGGTCTACCTGATCTGATTCCTATATACCTCTTCCGCTATATCTCACTTGATTTTCAGCATCCAAACTGGTCTCTTCCTGCTCCTTAACCTACCAGGTTCTTCCACAATGGAGAGCATGTGCATGTTGGGATGACCTTCCTATTTCTAAGCCTAGATAACTCCCATTTATATTTCAGATCACAGCTATATTTCACTTCCTCAGGCTGCCTTCCCTAGAGTATGTTAGGTTCCCATTTCATATAACATTTACCAAAATACAAATTGAATGTTTATTTGTTTAATGTTTATCTCTTTATTAGACTATGAGCTGCATGCCTATGTATATTTCATTCTTACGTGACCAGTACTCCTAGACTGACACAGAGTTGGTGGACACATAGTTGGTGCTCCATAAATGCTTATTAAATAAACAGATGAATATCCCACAGTCCTTCCCTCAAGATGCTCTTGGGTAAGAAAAGATTATTACACAAAAGCAAAACAAAACAGAAATTTGGCCCTGGCCAGGTAGCTCAGTTGGTTGGAGTGTCATCCTGTACACCAAAAAGTTGCAGGTTCAATTCCTGGTCAGGGCACACACCTAGGTTGAGGATTTGCTCCTTAGTCGCAACTCGTGGGAGGCAATCAATCGATGTTTCTCTTTAACATTGATGTTTCTCTCTCTTTCTTTCTCAATCAATCAATAAAAACATATCCTAGGGTGAGGATTAAAAAACAACAACCCAGACATTTGCATTACAGTTTGATTATGTTGTACAAAAATATTGACTGAAGCTGGGTCCCAATATGTGGTGATATCAAAATAAATATTTATACTTCATATAAATTTTTATTAAATTTATCAAAAAATAAGAAAGTATGTTTCTCACACTTGCGCTTGCACAACTTCACAAAATACCTTGAGAGAAAAAATAGAAAGAAATAAGACCTCCCAATTCAAAGGTGGCTTTTGGAAATGTTTAAAAAATACCCCAACAATTTTTAAACAACTCGAGGGAACTGAAGTTTAAAAAGTGTAAACAAGTCCCTTAAGTAAGACGTATTCTTATGTTAGTCAGCAAATAAAAGGATCTATGAGAAAATAAAGGGACACAAGATATAAGAGACTGTTCTCCTAACTGTACCTCACAATATACTACCAAGGCCACTGTCACAAAGGCCTGGAATATTAACCCATATACCATCTAGCAGCCAGCCCAGGTGTCACTCTGTGTGGATAATACTACAGGAAATTCTCAATGCTTTTTAGCATTTTTTCAGGACCATTTTAATGCACTTGATTAAATTAAGATTTAAAGGGATCTTTTAAATATTTAACACTCATGGCTGTCATAATTCTCTCCTTGTTAGATCTGTAAGGAGAGTATGACCTCAGCTATTGGGAGAATAAGTAATATATTAAGAATTACAGCAAGGGAACACAACAAAAGAGTTAAGAAAAACATGCAATAAAAATGCACAGACTCAAACAATTTCCTTGGTAAATTCTGTATGATGCTTAATGTGTTAACTCAAGGATGAATAAGACAGAGAGCCATCTGCAGGAAAAGAAACCTGTACATTCTACAAACCTTCATATTATTTCCTCTAGAATAAAGGGAGCCTATAATAAAACTAATTTCTATCCTAGGTCCCCAGAAAAGTAACTGCATTTTCACCAAGAATATCTTATTTGTAACTTGGATATTTAGAGAATTAGGTCTCTAGAAAAAATGTTCTCCACTTGAAATCACTCCTTCAGAGAGATTGTCCCTAAACATATTGCCCGTTCTTGCCTTCCTTTTACCACCTTAATAGAAATTATTTTCCTAGTTTATCTGTTTATTACATGTCTCCCTTCACTAAAGTAAGGGCATCGACCTTATCTAACTTGTTTACCATTGTATCCCAGCCCCTGCTACAGCAGCGACTAGCACAAAAGAGATATGGACTAAGTATATTCTAAGATTGAATAAAGAATCATGAAGACAACAATTAACATCTGTAGTCATTATTTTGGTATATCTTGACCAGAACG